TCAACGCTATTTTCAAGTTTTGAACAACTCGACTTTCAAGATCTACATATCTACATGTCCCGATGTTTCTATTTATCAACGTTATATTTTAAGATCCATGCAAGAACTCAGCTAATAGATGTTTCTGCATATAAGAGCTATCTTCAAAAATAATTGTGTAGTCTGTTTCATTCAAAAATATGAAAATTTCACAAAGCTGTACTTCCGAAGAAATTTGAAGTGACTGTAGCACAGAGGGGTAGTGTAAGTTGTGTTGTAGTATATAGCTATAGAGTTCACACGCTGTCGATCAAATTTTCAGGGGATAAAACCATATTAAACAATATTCAAATATGCTTGGAATAAATACCTGTTTGCCTTATTTTGTATTTAAGGTTTAAATATGGTTATACCCAAAACCAATCTGCTCCAAAAATCTATCAGAATTGTTGTCATGGTTAGTAGCTGTTAAAGGCACCTAGATTACAAACGCTTGGCTGTGAAGGGAAGCTTGTAGAGTTAATGTTTTTTATTTGAGCATATAGAAGATCTAAAGATGGTTTAATTCTGGCATTCAAGGTTGTTAGGAGCCTGAAGGATGAATTTTGATTTCTGAACTGATAAGACATTGGTAATCGTGACTTGAATATAAAAATTAAAAAGTACAAGATTTTGAGACTTCTTGGTCTTCTTCATGAGTAAAGGTATTTATATCTTAGGATTGTAAGTTGTAGAACGGTTGATATGATTTGGGGTAATGGACTATTTATTATTAATTGTAATTATTACTGTAAAATTTTAGTCAATCTTGAGTAAGTTATTACATAGTTATATTCTTGGGTAATTATAAAGATCAAAGATTAGCATGGTGAATCAAATAATTTGATGTTGCTTTGCTAATACTTTTATAGACAAGTTAGCATTGTTTTAACTGTATTTTTTTTGTATTAAATTATATAAAACAGTACCCTAAATGTAGAGAAATTAAGAAATAGAAAGTTTTAAAGTCCTAGTTTCTATCATACGTTCAAGTAGCTTTGTAGATATTTGTAGATATGTTTTATCATGTTGATACATGTAACATTTGTCTCATGTTTCCTCATACAATATTACATGTGCTTGGTTGTCTTACCTGCTGTTTAAGTCCAGCAGTTTCTATCAGATCAACTTATTTTTTTTCACCACTTTTTGTTTGTTTTTGATGGTGTGTCTTTCAAGTCTGTATTGAACTTGCTAAACACAGAAAGTGATGTATTTTTGTAAATGTGCGTAACATTTTGTCTTGAGTTAAAAACAGAGGAAGAAAAAGTAGTGCTTTAGGAAGTTTAAAGTTTTTACGACCTTATTTTCACACTTGTCTACAATATACAAAACACACAAGTTGTTTGAAGAGAAGAAAGTTTTTCTTGCCTATTGAGCAACTTGCCAAATCATACCAGACAACTTTTTTGACCCATATAAGCTATTAAATACTGTACCTTTAAGATGAATAGGTTTTATTTTAATCAATGCACTCATTGTTCTACAGTATAAATAGATAATCTAAATTTTGTTAGTTGTTTGAAATTTCATTATGTTGGTCCTCTGATTTGTTGTTGTCTATTTTATATTTTCACTAAGTGGTATGCATCTTTTGTAAGACACATCAACAAAGGCCACATACTCCTTTATACATCCCATACCTGGTACATTTGATTTCTCCTTATTGTAAGATACATCAACAGAGGTCACATGCTCCTTTATACGTCCCATACTTGGTACATTTGATTTCTCCTTATTGTAAGATACATCAACAGAGGCCACATACTCCATTATATGTCCCATACCTGGTACATTTGATTTCTCCTTATTGTAAGATAC